AATATACTTAATTAGCAAGGATATTTTAGGAATAACAACACTTATTTATTATAAATAACCAACTTAACTTACTTCCTTAATCTCCTCAAATAAGTCAATTGGGTCTTATAATTAGAACCGGAGGAGTATTATTTATTTTTGTCTAAATATTTAATGATTTTTTTAATTTTACTTTCATATATTTTCTATTCTTCTTTAATTCATTTATTGCATCTTTACTCATTCTATTCATTAATAAGAGCATATTTTTTAAAAAATATATGTTTTATATATTTATTGTTTTAAACTGATTTTAACTAATTTCTTGATAAGCATAAATAGATAAAATTTATCTTACATTTTAAACTGGAATGATTACTCTCCCCTGTTCCTATTAAAACAAAGATAGAAGATATTTTTTAACCTTAAAGTACTAAGAAAATTTTTTTTATACAGATGTACAATTTTACCCTTTACTTATTATTGTATTGATTTTGTTTACATAAGGTATAATGTATATTAAATATGAATAAAGTTCGAAAGCTATTGAATTTTAAATGAGAGTTAATAAAGTTTAAAATTTTTCTTAGTATGTGCGAAATATGTTGAAAGTGACTTATAAATAATGTTAAAAGAGTACAAACTAAATATTAGTTGGCCATAACTTAAAGTGATCCCATTGTAGGAGGGGGTGAAACATGAAATTTTAGAGCTAACATTGTAAAAAAGACAATATTCATGTGAAGTTGTTTATATTTATCATGTCAAGTTCTCCAACTATATATGATCATGTATCTTATTTTTAATATATTAATATTTAATAATATTTGGTTATAAGTTCACATAAAATAAAAATGCGCCATGTATAATTAGAAAACTTAACAAAAACATAATAATATAAAAAGTTCAGCTAATAAAACATATATGATGCAGTGATGCACGCGCATAAAAAAAGGGAGAGTTGTGAGTTTGCTTGAAAATTGAGGCAGCGATTTGGAAGCGTATGGACAATCCATTCAAAGCCACATGTTGTCTCAAATCCCCAAGTATCTTCCATTGTCGCTTTCTGGCCTCCTCTATTATTAATGCCTCCTCCTTTTATTCATAACAAATAAATAACTCAATCACACCGATTAAATTATTCCATTTTAATTGATACAATGCAATTTAGTAACTTATACTTGATATTTAATTTTCCTCAAAATACTCATACATTTCTCATTATAGCCGTGTATTAATTACACTAATTTAATTAGTGACTGTTAAACAAAAAATTTTAATTAAGAGTGTAGTTAATGATTTCAAAAAGTGATTCATTTACACGTATGCAAGGAGTATTATATGTAATCTTCTTCGGTATTTATAGTCAAACTTCTTTGTAGTTTCACGGTGTTTTATATATACACGTATGTGTGTGTGTGGTTTTCTGCGCTTGATGCCATGTTCCTCTTGATCCAGCTAGAGAGACAAAGATCACTTATTCGGTGTAGGTTATATCTGTGTTATATCAAACTAATAAACTATATTTTAAGTAAACTCATCATGTGTCTACGGGTCTTGCTGTTGCATGAAGTTTAATGACCAGGCTATTCCTGTTTTAATAATTCTATATTTTATATAGATTATAATTTATATTAATGTTGATTTATTATTTGAAAATTCACTATTTGAGTTAATATTTTCAAACTCGAATCAACTCGTCAATTTTTTGAGGTGTGAAACCTTGATCATTACCATAACATTTGAAATAACTACTAACTAACAAGGAAAAATTATGTTTAAAAAAAAACAATTACGTTATTGGACTACGTACGCAGATAATCTTAAGCTGGGGATCCATCCATAACATAGTATCTAGAGAAAAATTGCAAACAAATTAAAAATCATATATAACCAATCACTTTTGTGCTGAGGGGAAAAAAAAGAAAAGGGATAGTTTTATTATTTTATATCACTATTGGAGCCCTAATTAGAAAATAAAATTAAAATGTAATATAAAATAAATTTTTGTACACTAACTTCTCGGCTTTTTGGGTCATTTGTTTTTTAGATGACATGATTGATCTCGTTCAACTATGCATGTTTCCAATATCTATTTATTGACAAAATTTGATTTCTTTGAATAAGAAAGGATGGACCAGAATTGACCGACCGCCTATGACCGAAACATGGGAGAAAATGCTGGAAAAGAATCAAATATGTTTAGGAACAGAGAAAAGGGTGGTGGAGGAGAACGTGGATTAGAATCAAAGGGTGTGAGAGAGCATGATTAGTGTTACTTACATGTTTTATATTAAACAAATGTAATGGGAACCATCAGATCTTATCCCAACAAGCCCCATGTGCTCTCTAAAGGAATTTCCAGAAAGTCTGCCTTAATGAATTCAATTAACTCCCAACCATATTACAACATGATCGTTCACTAGCTGGGTGCTTTTGTTTTGTGTTGGGCAATTTCCATTTTTTAATGTTTTAAAGTTTTAAGAAAATATATATCACTCAGGAGAGGTTCTAAATAATTGGATTTTCATGTGCCAATGAGAGGCAACCAACCATTGGCAAGCTTAGCTTTTCATGTTCACAAATGATTCTACTCATTTGCTTCATATTTGATGCGATTAATATCATGCATTGGAAGCAATTCTTAATCATTCAATGAGTATGCTCCCTTATTTGTATGAAATTTAATAAATGAGTTACATTCTCTGATTCTAATATAGGAGTTAATTAATTATGGGATTTATTTTAATATTAGATACAATATTTTAATTCACTTTTGCCTTCTAAATGTATAATTTTTCCCGTAAAATATTCATATTGATTGTACATATTAAGAGAATTTTTGTTATAAAAAAAAAAAAGCAGTTCCAAGACAAATGATTGGTACTTAGAAAAATCAATACACATATTTCATAAACAACTAACTTATCTGATTTTTGCTTAATCTCTGCAAGTTAATTATTTAACTCTTATATATCAGGGACTAGAGGGAGTACTATTTATACAATATGAAGAACATAATTTTTTTTACAAATTTTATATTATGTGGTGATTATACAGAATAAATTTTGATTCTATTTATTTATTGATATTGTAAGCAGGTGGTTGAACCGTTGGAGTTCAATTTACAAGGTCTATGTACTAATTAAGTAGACTTAATTAAAAGGTTTAACATTTGTCATTCATTCTACAGAGATTTTTTTTTTTTGCCGTCCATACAATAGAGAAATTAGTCTTTACTCTCCACAATGAGTATTCAAAGTCTTATAAAAATACTACCTCCGAACCTATATATAAACTTCAAATAACTAATTTACGGATAATGAATAATTAGTTAAAATTAGTTAAAAATAATAAATATATCAGAAATATAATCTTATTTTCAAATATGCCTTTACAATAAATGAGAAAAAAGATGACAGAGAATGCGTGGAAAAATATAATAAAAAAATAATTAAGGGCAATATTAAAAAAAATGCATTAAATGTTAAGACAAATCCAAATTAAAACTTCAGTCCAAAAAAAAAAACTCAAATTGAAACTTATAAAATGGACTATATTCCTTTTCAAATTTAAAGCTTATAAATAAGACCTGATGGAGTGCTATTAATGCCCTCTGCTTATGCTAATTATTACTTGAAAATAATAAGGTGAAATTGATCCCTTAGCTTAGAAAGACAAAAAGAAAAAAGAAAAAGATGTTACACGCCCTGAAAAATTATCAAATAATATTACACATGCGCCAACAGTTGTTTTATTGGAAGGGATTTTCGCTGCTCGTCTATAAGGTCTAATTTCGTGTAAATGCGGAAAATGTCTTGAAAGTCGTTACCCCCGTAAGATCCATGGGCCACGTAGTTCAAATGTTGGGCTCCTTCTCGGCCCAAAATAACAAAACGAGCCTTATCTGACATTTCATACCTATAATCATCTTTCCACAGTTTGGCATCTTGGCACACAAATCTCCTTTGAGGGCAAAAAAAGAAGAGTGCAAAAGAAAATGATTCTGCTTTGCCCTTCTACTAAGTTATTTTTATTTTGTTGGGTTAAAGAGTAAATTTACCCATAAAGTATTTTTCCATACACATATGATATTATAAAGTCTCTTTGAATGTAATAGTGCACATAAGTTTTTTCAAATAGAGTAAAAATGTCATATCTATTACTTATACCTAACGTTCGTTACTTTAGTGTGATGAACTTATTTAGCATCCAGGTATCATCAAGTAATAGACATTAACTACATTTAATGAACATGGCATTTTTTTCCTATTTGGAAACATTTACTTGTACTATTGCAGCCAAGAAAACTTGATGGTATCAGATATTCATAGAGGAATGTCTCATGGTCATATTTGCACCTTAATCCCCCTTTTCTTTAATTTACCGAACTTTGTAGTTTTGGTAAAGATACATCAAACCTACGTAACATTAACATAAAACATAAAATTTACATAGAGAGCAGCATTGTTTACGAGGTGTGAACAATACTTCTCAATCAAAACCGCAGCCAAACATGAGCAAGTCATCCTCTTGTCTGAATTATCATGACATCCCAAAACTGACTGTATATAACATCAAAACTCGACTATTTTACAGTCATCGGAACCTGAGTTCCTTCCACCCATAGCTGAGTCATGTCACCATTATTAACAAAAGTGCACAAGCTTTATTTTTCCCCCAAAGATCTTTGCATTAATCTAGGAATCCTATTCGCTCTGGATTTCATCAGGGCACACTTGCAACGCCTTCTCATCACATACAAAAGTAAAAGAAAAGTAAAAGAACAATATGTATGATGTCAGTTTTCTTGTAAGAAATTAAGTGACAGAAATGTATTAATTATAAAATTGTGTGATATAATACCTGTGGATATGCATGTATCTGATCCTCTGATCTGAAGCTAAATGTTTTGACGACCTTCAACTCTCCTCTACCAGTTGTGGCCTCGTCTAATATCTCACCATCACCTATTTCCCTTGATCCCCTACTTGCTGAATCCGCATCCTTAATCAGGAAAAATAATACAGGTTAATTGATTTATACCCATTGGATCCTCACATTTTATTACATGGAGGAGATGTTATGTTATTACAACCACAAGTCTAAAAGTAGAGTCTGTTATGACCCTAAGTCCAAAGGAAAAGCACATTTCAATACACTGGCGTGTTGGCTAGGAAAGCACTTCAAAAGGAGAACCTATCCCCAAAAACTAACCTATTGGGCGGATAAACCTTAAACTTATAGCACTTGTGAGGAAACCAGTAAGAGAAACAGGTTCGATACCTGGGAAGAAGAGAGACGGAAGGAGAGTCTTGGGGTAGCAGCGATTTCTTCATATTCAGCAGCATCAAGTTCCTTTAAATGCTTAGGGCTGAACAGCTTGGGTAGCAGATACTGCCTTATTATGATCAACACAAAGAAAGGCAAAGGAAACAAGATTCCTGCCATGGGAATCCATGTCACTCCAAAGACAACCAACAAATATACAAATTGGAACAGTGTGAAGAACACTATTGCTCTCATTGGTACTGTCTCTACAAACGAAGCATGGTCCCCTTCAAACACCCTATACATCATTTCGAACAAACCAAACTCATTATTAGTTACTCATAATAATATGATTAGTTAATTCTGGTTTCAAACCTTGGACATTACATAATTATATATACCTGTATCGTCTATTGGGAGATATGAAGATAAATATTATTCTTTCCCAGAACTGATTTCCCGGAAGACTATCAATGGCCATGTAAGCAAAATAACCCCACAGAACTGAAGTGGGTATCTTCTTGATCACAGGCATGGCAAACACAGATCCTCCTACAAGCAATGCTTGCACCAGATTGCTCACCCTTTGCTCGTTCACTCTTATGGGCAGATGTTTGTCAATGTGTTTGGCAGGGTCAAATGTTTCTTTCTCTTCTTCTTTTAGCACAGCATCTTTCAGGTCCTCTAATTCTTTCACCACTGTATTCTGCAAAATATACATACAAAAGCTTCTTTACTAGTTAGCATGGGTTTAATGGGATTATTGGTTAATTATCTAGGTGACTTACAATTGGGCTTTTGTCTATTTCTACAAACACTTGTTGCATGTTTCCATAGATCTCAGAACTGCTTGCTTTGTGCCTCATGCTTTCTTTCACACTTTGCATCATCTTCCTTCGAATCAACTGCAACTCCATATTTAGCCAGAGTGCTTTATATATATATATATAGAGTATCAGCGTTAACGTTAATTGAACGTTCATTCACCTGTTTCTTGAGAACAGCAAGGCTTTTGGTGTGCATGGGCGATTGAGGAAGAACTCCATTGGAAGGTGGCAAACCAAGCAACCCACAAAGCAAAGTCTGAAAATTGCTTCACGAGGTCAATGATCGGAGAGCTTCATGACCAAAACACAAGTGATCTTTCATGTAAGAGAGAGATATATAATGATATATATACCATGAATCCTAGAAGCAACACGTCATAATGATAAGCAGAAGGCTTCTTGAGATTGAATTCCTTCTGTTGTGCCATTTGAGAAGCAACGCTATGATCGAAGAAGTAAAGACCCGCAATCATCAATGCAGGGATAATAGCACCAAAAATATATGCAGGTGGAACCTTCCCCATGTCCTGCATATTAATTGAATATTATATCAATATACATTTAAAATATCATCTTTTCTTTTAAGGGCAATATATATATGTTACTTTGATTACTGTCCAATGGTGTAAAGAAGAAGATTCCCAAGCAAGAGGGGCAAAGAGCCTTCTAGGGACTCCAGAGGGAAGTTTGCTTGGTACTGTGAAAGACAAAGCTGTCCACACTACCACCATTAAAGGAACCCCATAGTCTGCCAAGAAACTTCTTAACTTTCCTGTACAAATTACGCAGACCATGTTAGCTTCAGATATAGGTCATCAATTAAGGTCTTAATCAGTGATGCAATTTATTATACTTATTCCTTGACGGCACATATAAAAGACACGTCATAGGCATTGTGGCAATAAATGAAATAGTCAAATAAGATGAGTGAGCATACTTCATAGTCTTTGAGATATAGCATATATTTTCTCTTCTTATTACTTCTCTAGTCTTTAGTCTTTAATGTATGACTTAATTAGAAAATTGATATTGATTCTATATATAAGACCCACATCATATGTTTATCAATTTTTTTCTAAATTAATCCTATTGATATTTCCTCAACAATAATCAAGTAGGGAAGGAAAAGGAAATTAAAAAATATAATTAGAGTGTTATAGAAAAAATATATCATATTAACTAATTTAACTAACATTCTTAATTTACTCAATTTAGTTAATTAGGTCTTATATTAAGTACCAGAGGTGTATATATGTTATTTCACCTACTGCAGTTGGACAATTGATTAGGCATCTCTTACTGGTAAATTAGCAGTTAGAATGTCATAATTCTTGCCTCTTGACTTACACACTCAAGCTAAGGCTTCCCGTAGTTTGAGTAATGCGAGACTTTCTTTGTTTTTTTTCTTTTCCAGACGCACAAAACTACAACAATTTCAACCACGTGGATTTGACACCATAAAACTAATTGCTTTGTTCAGGAGTAATTTGAAGTGATACATCTTGTTAGTTTAATATAAAAATGTTTGCAACTTCACAGTAACAATAATAACAAACCTGTGCCGTACAACCATGATCTAGCTTTTCTGGTCTTGAGAGAAGAAAAGAGAAGGCCGAAGGTGAATATGATTCCCAATATTCCATTTGCATAAAGCCAAGGAAATTTGTACTTCTCTAAGCTTTGGTCTTCGTGTTTAGGAATCTTAAACTCGCTCACCATTCCCTGGATTATTTTAGAAAGATCAAGTTTCAATTAATCTTCAAACCTACTTTTAGATCTAATGCCGCCTATAAATATTTATGAATGTATGAAACTAACCTTGATGGCCTCTTGAATGAACAAGACTGTGATCAACATGCCAAAAAGTTCGCCGGCAATTCTGGTGAATCTATTAACAATGGCTCCCGCATTGAATATTGCTAGCAGAATCAACATCAGAGCTGTCCAAACGCAAACCCTGAAGATCGTAGTTCACAAATCTCCTTGAACTTTAATTAAACTTCGAAAAATTCTAAGACGAACTGGCTAACTTAGTTAATGAGAGATAAAAATCACCCATACATATCCTTTTAGAAAATTGATATGATTATTCTTACCATGCAGCCCAAGCCAAGAAGAGTTGTGGCCCCAAATCATCTCTATCTTTAGCAAACTTGTATAAGTAAGTGTACATGATGATAGTGGGTTCTGCAACTCCCAGTATTAACAATGGCTGACCTCCCAGAATTGAGTGTATGATTCCACATATAGCAGTTGAAGCCAGTGCTTCTACTGAAGTCAAGCTTCCATCTTCAAACAAACAAATTAAGGATATTACAAAGATATTTCCATTTTATAAATCTAAGACATGCAAAAAAATCAAAAACTCAGAATAAATTAATAATTAAGCATATCATCCTCAAAGTTTAAAAGGCCATAAAAGAACGACACAGTTACATATGTAACACAACATGCATAATTCTTTGTCCACTCTTTACAGCTTTTCTTCACTTCTTTTATTGGATCTTCCATGCTAGAATATAATTAATCTTTTGTATACACAAGCAACACACACACACACACACCCACACAAGGCCGGCCGAGGAGGAAGAACCTGTGTCTCTATCGATCTGTTCTCCAAAGGCTATAACAGGAAGAGCAGAAGCAAAGAAAATATAGGTGGTCGGAGCCAATATCCTATCATCAGAACCAAAATAAATGAAGATTATTTGTACTATGAACAAGTTTGAACTGAGACATCTTGTGTATATATATCGTTCGATAAATATATATATATATATGTAGTAAGAAAAGTACCCGATTCCTGAACAGATACCAGAAATCCAATCTTCCTTGTAATACTTGCCTCTTCCTCGGATATCACTAACTACACCCTTGAAGGGCGTCTTGAAGTTCTCCATTGTTGTTGCTGAGAGAGAACGACAGAATGAAAGTTTAATAACTCAAAGGGTGGGCCCCTTAAAGATTATAATTTCTATAACGTAGGCACACAAAAAGAGACCAGAGTACGTACGTAGATGATGAATTATTAAATAATATATGGGGAAGAAATTAAACAATTGGAGGAGAGAGAAAATGGGAAGAAGAAGCAGTGAGTCGTTTCTTCTGCAGCAACTTCAATGCTTCATGTGGTCATTATATTTACACGGGGAATCAAACATATAAAATGATAATAGTACATCATTTTAACTGTTGATCGATTGAAAAATGTTAAGAGGAACAGGCCAAAGAGAAAGAAAAATATTAAGACGAAATGTCTTCTTGTGTGGGTGAACCTCAATGCATGCCTCAATACAATCGGTCATTTTATATGGAATACAAACATATATAGATGTATTGGATCTCCACCCATTTTAATTAAGTAAAAACGTTCAAATATTATTATTGTTAAAATAAAATTTGGATTCAGATCCCATACTCTAAAAAAAATGGATGGGCTAGCGTTTAGATGTAACAAATGATATAAATTGATAGTTGGCTAATAAAAATATTCATGGATAAAAATAATAAGAGGAGTAAAATAATACAACGGTTATATTTATAATTATGTTGTGATCCGCTGGGTAAATATATTATAGTTGGACTGTTGGAGACATAAATTAATTGAGCTGTTATTATAATTGAAATATTTATTCATATATTACAAGATTAGGTATTGTGATAACCAATTAACCACTAATTTCATTAAATAATACATCGTAACACTTCAAACTGCTTAAAATAAACATTTTCTCAACTTATATAAGTACGTCAAATAAAAATGGAGTTGACATTTTGACGCAATATACTTCACTAAATTATACGATTAGGTAGTGCGATAACCACACATAAAAAAAAAATCATACATAATTAAACTCCAAATTAATTATACGTATATGCTGATATCATCATATGTGTCTAACATCACAAGAGTTGAATTATAATTGAATAAATCTCACTAAATTATGGGGTTAGGTAGAGTGAGAGATAAGATAAACCACCCATTTTGTGAAATGATACGTCACAAGAGTTTAAGTTATACAAAAAAACGTATTCTGTATAAGTCCAAATGATGTAGGTTGCTGATTAGCAAAGCTGTGCTACACGTCTATAAAATCAAATAAATTAAAAGATTTGCTTACATCTATATGTTTTGAAAAATATACATGTGTGTCTGTGCATATATAAATTAAATTTTTGGGGAAGAGGTGACGGTTCAGTTGTTGTCAGAAGTGATAGGCTGATCGATTGGGTTATCTGCTTTTTTCCCCCTCTTTCTCATTTTCTTCTCCTAATCTCATACCTACTTTTAAATTTTTTTAAAAATAGATTATTTAAGTTAAATATTTTATAACATTATTATAAATATAAAGAATATAGAATTAAACTGTTAAAATTTTATATGCAAAGTTTCGGTACAGAAAAAAATTTAAAAAAACTCATTTATAAAATGATATAATAATACAGTTTTAGTTTTAAAAATATTAAATCTGAATTATTCATTTTTTTATCTAAAGATGGAGGATCTGCTTCCAATCAATAGCATGCATGTGTTTGTACGGGATTTTAGCCATCCCCATACTTTTCTTCTTAAAATTATAAGTAGCATTGAATTCATGATTTTTTTAGGTATAAAAAAGCTTTCATGCTATTAGACTATAATATTATCAGTTTCTTCATACACAATCTAATCCGTTTATTTGGCTGTTTATTTAGTGTAACAGTGTAAGATTGGTAATTCTGAAATTAAATTGCCTTTGTTATTCATTTAATTACAATAATAAAGAAATATTATGATCTTATTTTTTAAAAGGATTTGAGTATAGCAATAATCAATAAAAAATCTCTGGCCATCAAATCAAATAATTGGATGAGATTGTGTATGAAAGAGAATTATCGATAGAGAGTATGGAGTAGATCCAAATTTGTTTACATGGAGAGAAGCAGAAGATGACAAATGGGGTCATAATTTTGAGTTTGTTTCCTATGTTATTACTAAGGAATCGCAAACCAAATTTGCTTCCTATGGTTCCTCGAAACTTCTGTTTTGGAAGCTCTATGAACATGTGGACTCAAATTAATTCGGGGCCACAATATTTATCAGCATATTATTTTATGCATGGATTCGTTGTGCCCGTGATATTCCAAGGATAAATTACTTAATAATAATATCTGTCAAGAAAAATTATCATTTAAAAAACAGACAATTTTCTAAGTATATTTTTGAATTAAATTTGTCTCAAATGTATTTTTATAGTTGTATATGACTAGTTCGATTTCTTTATTTGTCATACGTGTATATATATATATGGAAAAAAAATAATCTTTTGATTCTTATTATAATTTTAACTTAGTTGCAAAACTTTAAATGATGTAACTCAGTCCCTATCAAATTATATATTTCATGAAACTTTGGGACTACTGTTTTATGAATTGAATTACAGTACTAAAAGATTAACTTTCTAAATATATACTCATATATAATTGTGTCCAAAATAATACTCGTAGTTAATTTCATTCACTCTCTGTAATTAAAATTAACAAAGGGAAATTCCAATTGGATGCATCATATGCTAAGAAATATATATTATGTATATTCTGGTTAAAAGTGGGATACATTAAACAGTGCCACATTTGGCTTACTGATGTAATTATTTATTTTCATGTTGATGTGCTTTCCCTTATATATTTTGGATGTTATGCTCTTACAGAGATGTAAATCTTATATCACCAAATAAAAAAAGGTAATATTCTTATTTAATAGGAGTTGGGTCAAACAAGTGAAATGGGGGGATTCGAGGAGGACGAGGATTCAATCATCCCACTTGATGGGTGAATAAGAATATTTAAAATTAATTTCTTGAATCACTGAAAAACCGGATTCCACGGCACATCTCATGCTATGTTTCAAGATCCGCAGGTAGCGTCTCTTGTCGGCTACACTAAACGGCATTGACATTCTAATAAATTAATAATGACACAACAGACCCATTATTAGGTGCACCGCCTCTTCCACCAACCCCACGCAAACAGTCTTTATGCGCGCGTGTGTGAAACATAGAAATACCCTGTAATTTTTGTTGGCGTATTATTTATTCTTCCGATCTTTAATACTACCTCCGGTCTTTAATATAAAATCTCGTTTGATTTTTTATTTGGTCCTAATTATAAGACCCCAATCCATTTTATCTCTCATATTTATGCATTTTTTTCAAGATAGTCTTTCTAATAATAATAGTTCTAGCCAATACACTTAATCAGCAAGGATATTTTAAGAATGACAACACTTATTTATTACAAATAACTAATTTAACTTACTTCCTTAATCTCGTCAAATAAGTCAACTGGGTCTTATAATTAGGACCGGAGGTAGTATAAGACCCATTTAACTAATTTGATTAGATTAAAGAATTTAGATAAATTAGTTAATTATAAGAAATGTAACACATTTTTTTAAAAACATCATAATCATCTTTCTTAATACCCCACCTCCCTCTTTTTCTTGATTATGGTTGAGAGAGTATTTATAGGAGTAGTTTAGAAAAAATTTATAAATATGAGAAATGAGTCTTATATTTAGGATCAAAACTAACTCAACAATTGGGTTTTATATTAAGGACTGGAAAAGTACTATTTAGGGTTGAAGTGTGTTCTCATGAAATATTTTACCAGACGCGTCCAATATTTTAAAGTATTTTATTATTCCCTTAGTATTATAAAATATTTTTTCAAATACGTTCAACATTCTGAAGTATTTTGTGATGTGTCTAGTACCTTAAAGTATTTTTTCATATGTATTTAGCATTCTAAAAAATACTGAAAAAATAGTTTATCATACTTAATATAAATTCATTCAATGCACATTTTGAGAAGTTAATGATGAGATTAAAACTGTTTATGAAATCATACTTTATAAGCACAATTGCTTTGGAAAAAAATTAATACTTTAAGAGGATACTGGATGCACCTGAAAAAATACTTTAGAGTGATGAATGCATTACAAAATATTTTAGGACGCTGGACGCACCTGATTAAATACTTTGAGGTGTTGGACACATCTTTATCCTATAATTTATGTGTTCATGTTAATTTAATAAATCTATAACACAACCTATTAGTATATAATGCATAATATTACCTCCAGTCTTAATTATAAGATTTTATTTATAATATATAAACCAGATATTATCATTAGAATCCGAAATAGTATTATAGTGCAATGTTTTGGATGTTATGCTCTTGCAGAGTTGTAAATCTTATACGAGTATATCACAAGAAATAAAAAAGGTAATATTCTTATTTAAAAGGAG